TGGTTGATTCTGTTCTAACTGCTTCTTTTTTTTAAATTTGTAACATTTTAAAACTAGACTTTTTAAAAAAATGTATGCAAATTATTCAACTATTTTACTGTAAAAATAAAAGTCTAAGAGGATTTTCTACCACTTCAAAGCATCAAAAACGAGAAGCAAATATCAAATTTTCCGTTCCACGCCACGGTACTGACTCATTTATCGACGGTAATGACATAAAATAAATTGGTAAACAATACTCAGATGACGAGTCATATAAATTCAAGTTCAAAAATTCCATGAATTTTAAAGACAAAAGTTATCTAAGAGAAATTCAGTGTTAACTTAAAACATTATTCAAAAGTGTGTTTTTTTTGTTTGATCAAAGAAATAAGAATTTATCAGGTAATTAAAATTAAAAATTTATAGATACATTTTAGACATGGATATGACGAGGTACTGATATTTTGCTGGTATATTGTTGGTTCTCTCTCAACGAAAAATTAATACAAAAAAAAATTATTAGATTATTAATTAATCAGCAGTGTGAACAAACAAAACAAGATACTTTTTACGAAACTTCTGGATTCCTCCTGCGTCGACCTTGCTAACGTTTCGCCAATCATCCTGTTGACTTCATCAGAGCTTCAGCAAGTTTGACTGAGTAAAAATCCGCGCAGCAGGAATCCAGAAGTTTCGTAAAAATTATTAGAGTAGCCTGTAGAAGTTTCTTTGAAAAATTAACAATAGAAGATATAAAAAATGCTAGGTAAAATCCAAATACACTGTACAAGAATGCTAGAAAGGAAGCAACTTATGCGGAACTTATGCGGAATATTTTATTTTTTCTTTTGTCTTTAAACAACGGACGTTTTAATATTTATATATTTGCTTATAAGGCTCTAAGGATGCCCCGTTAGGTTAGGTTAGATTAGGATAAAATAGGTCGACATAAGAAACTAATTATATATGTTTTTAATGATATTTATAAAGGTTTATTTCTTAGTGCGCTTTTTATTTAAATACTTTTTTGTCTATTTTTGTAATTACAAACTACAAAAAATTGTTTTGTCATTACATTTTTCCTTTTCAAAATAATACAGCGTTTTCTTAAAAAGAAAAAGGTGTCCAGATTTTGGGACACCCTGTAATCTAGATTTAGATTTAATACAACTAATCAGGCTTTACGAATAATTAAGTAAATAATTAAAAGCATGCGGTAAACTAATTTTAACTCTGCCCAAATGCTTCAGAACATAATTTTGAAACTGTTATTTAATAATGTTACATTAACGAACACAGGTAGATTTGTATGATGAGCTTAATATTCCTAGGGTAATATATTGGTGTTTGAAACAATATGAAATTATCATAATTGCAAAATAATTTTTATCAAAAGTATACAAGAGCAAATATAGGACTGAACAATCCATTTCTGTCGGCTAAAAAGAAATACAGTAAGGTTCCAGAAAACTGAAGAAATATAAGTGACTGAAGAAATTTATCAACATATTGCATACTATGCTTTTGTATTTTTAAGAATATTCTTGTAAACTGAGCGGCGTGAGAAGTGTTTGTCAGATTTGACAAACGTCAAAACGCTATCTGTGCCTAAAATCTATCGATTACACCCGATCGCTTCTACTACTAAAGTACCGGAAATGTAGCTCGCGATAGTGGGTAACAAAGCCGAAGTCTTAGGGTAGAGAGAGTCGAAGTAACATATATTAGTATTGCTATATCGGGTGTTCCAGTTCGAGGTGCGTTATTGGCGAAACGGATGTTCCTAAAAATTGGAAAAAATGCAATTGTTAAGTAAATCGACTAAGAGAAAATTCTGGAAATTATTTGTGCGGTTCTGAAATGACCACCAGAGGACGCAATTGCCATCTTGCATTTTAAACCCCGTTTTTTGCCACATTTTCTTATATTATTGATACTTATTTGAAAATAGTCTCGAATCATCCCTTGCTACAAAACAACTGCTCCAGATTTATACCGTGAACATTGAAAATATTTCCAAGTTAAGTGCTTTTTCTAAAAACCAAGTGTATTCTCCACTCCCGATGGGTGGTCTGAGTATAGATTGGTCAATGCTGATTACAAAAATTCGTTAGGGAAACTACATCCGAGGCATATGACGTCTTTATATCTAGATCCACCAACATGAGTAAAAGTTGTTGGGCCTTAATTATTCATGAAAATCATAGATCTTCAAGTGTTGCACCCAAATCAATCATGCCAGATGAATACAATCTGTTCTTTACAAATGTTGTTTAGGACCTAATTGCGTCCACTGAAAAATCGAACGACCCTTATGTGCATCTAAGAAAAATTCCGCGCCCTCAGCAATCTTGCTTCTGGAATCCAACCTCTGCAGGTAAAGTCCACGATATTATTATGAGTCTAAGAAATTCAAGTTCAACTGACTGTTTCGGTTTAAATTCAAAAATACTAAAGGCACACCACAAAGTATATTGTAAGTGCTTTGACAGCCATAACAAATGCCGCCTATTCGATCAGATTTGAAAATGTAACGTTATTCAGGTCAATAAAAAAGGATATCTCAATCCACATAATTTCAGGCCAATCGCTATTTGCTCTATTTTTGGGAAAGTTGTCAAAAATATCTTAAAACCCGGTTTATCCACGTTCTTTTAGGTGAACAAATTTCTATGTGAATCGCAGTTCGGCTTCCGTGGAAATAAATCTACTACTATGGCATCAGAGGTATTCCTCTAAAATTGATCGAATCAATCTCGTTAACAGGTTTCAGTACGTTGAGTATGGAGGTGAGTCGAGTAACAACGTCCTACCTCTGAGCTCGGTTCTTGGACCGCTGCTATTTTTAATTTATATAAATGATTTGCCGCTGTCTGTCTCCAATCATCCTGTTCGCGGACAACACTTTTGTTTTGTCAATTGTTAAACATCATCGAATGCTCACTGAAAACGTTGCTGGAGTTACAAATATTCTGTAATAATTATTTTCTGTACTTAACGAACTAAAAACCCAAAAACTTATTTTATCCTGTAGTAAAGTGACTTTCTAAGTCAAAACAATATTATACTCTTGGGATTTGTTATCGATAGACCTCTATCCTGGACAGACCATATTGACAAAGATTGAGCAACACTATCTAGGGCGTATTCTTACTGAGGCATCGTATAGTGTATAGGGTTAGATATTCAAAAAAACCTTTTTTTTAACACTAATAGGCACGACTAGAATACAAAGCACGTTGATATGACCACGTCTGGTTACTCCAGACCAATATCCTAGCAATCTGATTTTATAATCTTCTCCCGTCCAATATTAAAAACCTACCTTATAAGCAATTTACAACAAAAATGAAAAACTTACGTAGAATGTCTTTTATAACACTAATGAATACTTGGAGCTACTTAGTCATAATGAACTCTCGCATTTTGTGTACTCTTATTATTATATTTGTCTAAATATAATAGTTGTTAGTTACTTCTATATTATTGTATTAATGTTTTGTTATTTTGGACGTACCAGTTGTTTTCTATTCTATTAGAGTAAACAATGTTTTAAAGCTGAGACAACTTCAAATCTTTTTTGTTAAAAGCTTTTGCTTTATCTCTAAAAGGAATAAATGGAGATAACTCCAAAATGGCTTAATCGAGTTAAAAACGGCTTTTCCACTAGACGGGGTTTTCTGACATAATGACAAAAAAAATCTGAAAAAAAAATGCTACGATATAATTAGATAGTCAAACAAGAACCCAACAACCCAGTGAAAACAGCACGTTAATAACTTTTTTCCACTTCCGTCTGTAAAATACCTAATTACACACCGGTCTAGTGTACGGGAAGCGTCACTTTACCATGTCAGTTTTGTTTCTCAGGGATCCGAGCCACTTCGGACATTTCCGGGATTTTACCGCACGGATTTGGGAGCAATCGGATGATTTTGGAGATATTACCCACGCCTTGAATTTTTACGTTTGTCAGTTCTGACGGTCATGTCAGTGAATGTATTCGTTTTGTTTTGCGAAAATGTACCCGAAAACTAACGGTCGTAGAAAAAGTATAGAATGCAACATGTTCGGTAAGTAACTCGTTTATTAAACACTCGCTCCGCTGCTTTCCGCTGGCGTCAAATAAACTCCTGAGTCAAATGCCGTTTACCGCACTTGTTGCCTAATATACTATATCCTAACCTCTTGCAACGCTTATAAATTAATAACTTAATCATAACATTATGAAAACTAAATATTGATAACGTTAAAACCCAACAAAATTGATTAAAAGGAAAAGCAACACGTTTATTAAACACTCGCTACGCTGCTTTCCGCTGGCGTCAAATAAACTCCTGGGTCAAATGCCGTTTACCGCACTTGTTGCTTAATATACTATATCCTAACCTCTTGCAACGCTTATAAATTAATAACTTAATCATAATATTATGAAAACTGAATATTGATAACGTTAAAACCCAAGAAAATTGATTAAAAGGAAAAGCAACACGTTTATTAAAAACTCGCTCCGCTCGTGCCAAACAAACTCGCGATTTATTTTTTTATTTTAAATATAACCTTAATACTCAAAAATAATTTTCAGCAAGTATTCTCGAAGCCCGATTACAAAATATACTGATTGATAGAAATAAAGAAATGTTTTTTTGTGAAAAAAAAAATGAATTTAAGAAATTGGTATTCGATTATAAAAAAACTAAATCTCTTCTACCTCCTTATGAGGTCGCAATTTCGAGTTACATTTACCAGGAAACATATGTATTTGTGCACCCTTATGACATGCGACAGCGTAATAAAGTCAGAGACGTTATTGCAGGTTACGAATATGAATCGCGGGGAAAAACATGTTTACCTGGGATGCGCATCGTGCAAAAATATGCCTCTTAGAAAATATCACCGCTTCTATGAATTTTTGATGGATGGACCCGGTCGGAGATGATATTACGTCTGCATATAGATTCCCCTTTAACCCGAATAACAGACTTTCATGATATTAAAAGGAGGGTAATTCAACTTACCGTCTCTGATGGAGTACCGGGGATTGTTGCTGATGTTTATCGGCAACATATTTTTCAACCACGTGATTTTGGGGCCGGGATTGCCCGTAGCGGCGCAGTTTAACATCGTGTTGTGCCCGATTTCCACTACTTTGTTGTTTTGCGGCGATTCTGTGATCTGGGGAAAGCCGGGGGGCAGTTTGTCCACTGAAATAAAAAAAAATAATTTAGAAATTCGAAAAGTAACGAAGAACGGATAGTTTGTTCAAGATTCGACTTGCTTCAACTGAAATCGATCAAAATGATACACATTTATTTCAGGATAAGTATTATACAGCACTGCAAAAGCATATATAGTCGGTACAATGGCACAGTCGGCAATAAAATGAGAGAATAAAATAAAAAATAAAATAGAATGTTTATCTTGCTTCCACTTGTATTTCAACAGATGTTGTTCGGCCCTAAACGTCTATTTGATCAATCAGTGCAAGACAGCGATCACTAGCGATCACGATTATATACTTAGGAGTAAGAGAAACCCAATCAGTTGTACTTGGAAAGTATTAATTTAAATAGTACATCCATACTCACAAATGGATCCATGTATTTATTATGTAATAATAGATCAGGGTGTACTCTAATGATATACGAATATTTTACTAGGTAAATCTACATAAAAAAATTATGATAATTTGTTAAATAATAAATAATCTCCATGAAATAAAAATTAAAACAATGCCAAAAAAATGGAAAATTGAAAAATATATATCATTGCGTATAAAATATAATTTGCCAAGAGTAAATATACCTATAAGTTAACCATATTTAGTTTGCAATTACGTGCATTGTTCATAAGAAAGGTAAATGGCTGGGTTTTGCCATTCTTAGTAAAGGAGGGGAAGCAAGTAAAATATTGCAAATCGTGCAGACTATAGTTTACAAACACTCAATTTTAAAGTGGATTTTCTAGCAAACTGCTAACCAAAACTAACCAAAACTGCTGACCGGATTTGGATATAAAATGTGTCACCGCAAAAGATCTTCGGTCCCATTACACCTACAGCAAAGCTTAAATGGGAAGAGTTTTAGAGATAACTTAGTGCATTTGATGATAACCGGCTTCAGATTTACAATCGGTCACTTGGTTTGGGAAATGTTGCCAATGAATTCAAGCTCGCTTTAACTTTTATTTTATGGCCGCCATGTTGGATTTTGCGATTTTAGAAAAGAGCGTAAAATTTCCATTTCGGTGATGTCTCGCAAGTGAACAATATATTATTCTCACACTTCGTAATGTTAGGTCTTACTTAGTTTACAAGTAGACAATGATTTATTTGCCACCTATTTCCATTTAAAGAGGGCTTTATCTTTAACGTTAAATACTTCAAGGTATCAAAGTTGTGTTTTAACAAGTAGTACCTTTTCTCTCGATAAAATTATAAATGAAACAAACAAGTTGGTGAGACTTGTTAAAAACGGACTGTATTCCTCATTCAAATGAAGAAAAATTTGACAAAAGTGTTGTACTTGCCGTCATACGGAACGTCGACACCAACTCAGCACGGTAGTTGATAACTGATACGCTGAAAATGAAAATCGCGGCACAAACATTTGACAAGCTATCAATGAGATTCCTGATGCGTCGGTAAGAACTGTAGAAGGGGAAAAGGAAAAAGTACCACCCATACAAATCCACAGTAGCCCAAGGCGTTAAAAGCAAACTGATTTTCAAAGAAGTATGTAAATGGATGTGCGTATGAATATTTCGATTTTGTAGCTTTACGAATTCAGGAATTTTTAATAAGCACACTACTCATCATTGGGAAACTCTCAAGAAGTGCCAGAGACACAACGTTTGGTAATTAAAGTTAACTTTTTTAATTGAGCAGATATAATAAATTATTAATCAAGAAATCGACTTTATATCCTCACTATATATAGTATATATTATTATATTAATCGGTATTAAGTATTTGGATTAACTTAGTCCATTGTGAATTTATCATTGTATTAATTGTTAGATGTTATTTTGGAATACAAATAAATAAATAAAATAAATAAATTTTAGCGTTTTCCAATTTTATTTTCTAATAAACAGTGTATGGAATATTAAAGATCAATTCAAAGTGAGATTCTCAAAATGACATACATAAAAGACACGGATTAAATAAAACCAAGGAAAATATATTTTGACGTAGTTAACACAATGATTCTAGCGCCATTTTATTTGGATTCTTGAAGTCGAAGGTGGTTAAAAAGATCAATAACATAAATTAAAAAAATAAATCTCTTTGAGCTAATTTATAAAAAAAACACTCAGAAATTGTTGCAGATGTGGCTAGAGGACATTTTTTTCTTGTTTTTTTTCTTTTCTTTTCTCTGTAAGTACACCCGAAATGAAACCCCTAATAATCAAATCTATCGTTTGTAGGGAACGATCTCTCGCAAATACTTCGATTACAATAACGTCTATATAATGTCTCGGTATGCAACAAACGTATGCTGATTGCTTTCGACTATTCCACAATCCGATTACTGGATTGACCGCGAAATGAAATCCGGGATCACCTGCCCTGTTGGCATAGCAACGCGTCTAGTTTCGAGATATAGCCATTTATTTGATCTTGCGTTCCGTTCCACGAGCGATCCACTTTAACATAACAACTGCGCTTTTTAAAATGTTATCTGCAGAACTTTGTATTAATAACTTTAAACAAAATTTGAATTTGGCTCTATGTTATGCTTCAAATTGTTCCACAAGAAAAGTGAAAACTTCATCATTATCGTAGATGGCTCTCGCTTTGTTGAGAAATTTTAAGTTGCAAGAGAAGTAGGTAATCCTTGCTTGAGGTCAGTTATTTTCTGGGGATAAGTCAATCAGGTTTCGAAGTTCCAAGATATCAGCATCTAGTTTGGAGTGTAGTAGTATGTGTTCCGCCCCTTCTTTGTCCTGCATGCATATCCTGTACACGCCACATCCGGTCTACCTAGTATACAGTACAAGGGTTCTCAGGTTTGCCTTGCCGATGCCCAGCAGATGATTGGTAGTCAGTATTTTCTTGACTCTTTTCTTAAGGCTCCATAGCATGAGTTGGAGTTTTGGACGATGTCTTCTGATATTGCCGTAGATTTTTCGAGATCGATCCACATGGTTCCACTGGTTTTGGTCTATAAACCAATGCTGTCTTCGCCTTAGTAGGTCAGTCTGGTTGTGCACCCACTGATCTCTGCTTGGAAGGTGTACGAGGACACACACATAATCGTATTAAGTCGTATGAATCGGATATTTTGAAGCTACAAAATGATCTCGATAGGTTTACGGTAAAATGTAAAAATCAAAGATTTTTTTTAATTCTCGATAAATGCCAAGTAATACAGTTAACGAGAAAAGAAGAACCCATTAATATTGACTTATAATTAGCAATACAAAACTTAAAAAACTTAAGGATAAAGGTAAAGGTTAAACGTTAAGGTTAAAGACTTAGGCATCATGGACTCTCAGTTAATATTTGAAGCACATGTAGAAAATATTGTAAAGAAAAGTTTGAGAAATCTTGGTTTTGTATTGCGTAACACTAATAATAGTGTCATCCGATCAATATTGGAATACTTATTCACTGCATGGAATGCGAGCTATCGCAAGTATATCGATCGGATGGAGAGTCTCCAAAAAGATTTTTAGAAACTTTAATTAACCTTAACACCACTATTCGTAGAAGAAGAACCTATATTTTTATAAATTGAGCTATTTTTTTTTTATAAACTTGCCAACAACCTTGTCGAGTCACCTTCTTGTACAAGTCACTTATCTTTTAATGCCTGTCCTTATCAAGTGCGCACTAGACTAAGTTTTTCTATAGACAGATTCAGATCTAACTATTTCTCAAATTCTCCTCTTATAAGCCTAAAATGTTTATAAGAAACGTATACAAAATTTTGTAACATTGTTCTAATACTGTCTATTAGCTTAGGAATTATCCAGTTAAGTTTGTTTTATATTCCCGACTATGTAATCTGATATGTTAAATGTGCGCTATATGGTAATTGAGTAGCCTCGTCTGCCTGTTGGGTTTGTAAATAAATCGACACCTAAAAAAAGGAATAAGTCAATAATCACGCACTTCTCCCCGTGGCAATCTTAACTAACCAAAAGTGGGTGTGGTAAAAAATGGGTGCAAAATTAATTGCTTAAATTTGTATTTGGATTCAGAAGGAACACGTCTTGAATCTGAACAATTTTATTTAAGAATTATTTAAAAAGAATTTTTTATTTAAGATTTAGTGCATGTTAGAAAAAGCGTGAATATGAAAATCATTCTTTTGGAACAAAAATTATATACACAATATTTTTACTATTTAGCAATCCTTCAATATCTACTTATCACCCAAAAGTTAACATAATGGATCGTAGGTTTTAAAATTAGAAAAAAGTCATTCTACTTTTTTTGTATTTCGAAGACAATAACCCCTAATTCAAAGTTTGAATTTTTCTTTTTTGTATCAAACCCATTTTTTTATAGAAAACTCTAAGGCTGTTCGTTCCGTAAAGAGACAGAACGCTACGGTTTCGCAAATATTCAAATTCAAACGTTTCCTCGCTCGAAAAGGAAGCTCGGATTTTCTTCACTTTATTCCAATTAAGCCATTTAAATAAGACAGAAACCTTCATTTTTATGGCCTTTTTATCCGGACCATCCGAACCTCGCGGATAACAGAACAAAACAAAACTTCCAACTTTAAGCTTTTGCCCGTTATAACTTTAAGCATTACTTGAAGGAGTACAATAAAAGGATATCTTAATACAAAGAACCCCGCCATTTACAAAGAAATGTTGGTATCTTTGTGTACAACTTTATCGGGAAAGGAAAGGGACTTGTTAAAAATGTTAACAATTCCGCAGGTCTAATTTATATCGAGTAAACTAAAATTAGGGGAAATTTTGTATTAGATAAAAATATGGAAAACCGTATTTCGGCACATTTTGACTCAAATCGGAACTATATAGTATTGAAATCTCAGCATGTTGTGTTACCTTCCAACATGATTGTACTAATAAAAAAAATGGCTTTTGTGTTTTAAGTCAAAAAAAATTTCATGGACGATCTTTGACCTTAGCAAACTTTTTGTAGTTAACTTTTAGTGTTAATTTTTCTCTGTTTAGTCGATTTAATAAAAGTGGATACACAACTGATATGTTATACTGTGTA